GAAGTGTAAACTTGTTTAATAAACCATATCTTTCATTTTCGATTTTTAATTCACGTAGTCCGGGAACTTTCCGGACAAACTGTGTATATGTGTGTAGGAGGATATGGGCAGGAGAAAGGTGGATCGATGAGTAGAATGAGGGAATAGTGGTGCCGGTACTGAAAAAAAGAGAGGGAAATATGGTGGAGGAGTATAGGGGTGTGACATTAGCCGGGTCATTGTATAAAGTGTATGCGGAGTTGTTAGCAGAAAGTTTAAGGGAGGAGGTGGAGGGAAAGAATCTAGTTCCGGAGAGTCAGGCGGGGTTCAGGAGGGGAAAGGGTACGATGGATAACATTTATGTAATAAATTATCTGGTTAGCAGAAATTTAAGTAGGAAAGGAGGTGGGTTGATTGCGTTATTTATAGATTTGAGGGCGGCTTTCGACACGGTCAATAGGGAGACTTTACTAAGAGCGATGAGAGAGAGAGGGGTGAGAGATGGTTTAGTGGGAAGGTGTGGGGACTTAAATAGGTAGACGAGGAATAAGGTGGCGGCATGGGAGGAGGTGGGGAATGAATTTTGGACAGGCAGAGGGGTGAGACAGGGATGCCCGTTGAGCCCATATCTGTTCAATCTGTTGACGGCGAATATGGAAGACTATTTGGGTAGAAACGGATGGGGTAAGGTGAAGGTAAAAGGAAGAAGGGTTTATGTATTGGCGTATGCGGATGATTTGGTGTTGTTAGCGGAGGATGAGGAAGGGATAAGGGGAATGATGAGAGAGATGGAGAAATATCTGGCGGGAAAAAGTTTGGAAGTAAACGTAAATAAATCAAAAGTGATGAGGTTTAGGAGGGAAAGGGGGAGGGAGAAAAAGCTAGAATAGTGGTGGAAGGGGAAGAAATTGGAGGAAGTATGGGAATTTAAATATTTGGGGTATGTGTTTCAGAGAAACGGGGGGAGGAAGGCACAGATAAAAGAGAGGATGAGAAAAGGGGCGGCTGTAATAAGTCAGGTGTGAGGGATTGGGAAGAAAAGGTTCGGTGGGGATTGGGGTAGAAGGTTATGGCTGTTCGACGTATTAGTTTGGTCAGTGGTTGGATATGGGGTAGAGATATGGGAATGGAGGGAATGGGATAGCTTGGAGAGGTTAAAAATAAATATATAAGGTGGTTATTGGGAGTAGATTGGAGGACCCCGGAGTCTATCGTAAGGGAAGAAGTGCAGAGGGACTTATTAAAAAGAAGGGCAGGGCAAAGGGCCTGGAGATTTGAGGAAAGGTTGGAAAGAGGGGAGGGTAGCAAAATAGCGAGGCTATGTTTAAAGGAGATTAGGAGCAGAGAGGGGGGTAGGGAGGGGTTGTCTGAGTGG